TCGCTCTTGCTCAGGCTGGTCTCAAACTCCTGAGCTCAAACAATCCGCCCGCCTCAGGCTCCCAGAGAGCTAGGATTACAGGCGTGAGCCACCGCGCCCCGCCTGAACGGTATACTTTGAACAGGTGAACTTTATGGTATGTAAACCATATCTCAATAGAGCTGTTTAAAAAAACAATCAAATACTGCAACCCTGTCTCAGCGACAGACGCCTGTGTGGTTTACAGCCAGTGACCGTGGGGGGCTGGCAGTGGGAGGGACAGAGAGAAATACACGCAGTGGCACTTGTGCGCATCTCCTTTGGATGTTCTCACTTGTCCCTTTTAGGGAACAGGACGGTGTGGCTTCAAGAGGGGGAGCCGCCAGCCCGAGGCTGGGTCTGGAGGCGCAGCGTGGCAGGAGGCTCCACCAGCCCTGACCCCAGCCCGCTCCTCGTCCTCCGTCCGCTCCTCCTTTCTCAGGAAGGACAGGGTTCTCGCAGCTCTACTCAGCGGATCGAATTGGGTGCAGTTACAGCCTTGTCACAATCTAATCAGGAGCCCTCTCCCCCATAGCACTTGTCCTTCTGAAAGGAAAGGAAAAAAAGAAAGAGCACCAAATCCAGTTTTGCCTTTGACTCCAGAATTCATTCCTGACCTCAGACGGGTTTTGCGTGGACCCCTTCAGGGCTCCGCTTCCGCCTTCCCTGAAACGGCCTGGCAGCTCGGCTCGCCCTCGCTCGGCTTCACTCTTCCTTACTGCCCAAACTCATATCATCTGGGAACTTGGCTACTTGTTTGCTGCCATACTCTCCCTTCAGAATGGAGGCTCCCTGAGGACAGGGTTTGTCTCTGGCCAGCACGGACCCAGCTCCCCGCAGCCGCAGCAGAGACGGAACCACTTGACCGGCCTCCAGCAGCTTCTGTACCCGGAGGCTGCAGCTCTGCAAACAGAACCCACGTTTCCTCTTGGTGCTGCCTGGCGGTGGCAAAACTCCATCCCCCAGGCCCCCACTTACCGAGTAATGCCACCAAGAGAAGGATGACGATGATGCTGTTGGCATTCTTCTCCTTGTAGAAGTACAGCAGCAAGCAGAACAGGATGATCTCCACAAGCTGTGGGAAGCAGCAGGCGGGAGGTCAGTGGGGGACCACAGGGACAGGCCAGCGTGGGAGACCCCGGTGGGCCAGCCTGCAGTTTAGGCTGCTGATCCCATCAAAGTCACAGGCACTCAGAGTTGAAAGGGAGGTGAAACACCCAGCGTTTCCCAAATACTGACAGATACTCAGTGGACAAGAGAAGCGCTGAGGGAATCTCTCTAATCCCTGGGTAACACCGAGGAGGAATTCCTCATTCACCGCACGCTAAAGCTCTGAGGGTGATGTGCCGACCTCATGTCCACATGTCTTGGATGGCCAAGATTCATCAGGCCGAGATGGTCTCTTCCCACTCCCACTGCTCCATGGGTATCCCCATTAAAACTGGGGGTCAAAGAGGGAGACACTTGTTCACAGCTTTTTGGTCAAGAATCCAAGTACACACTCCCCTGGCCCCCAACCAAGCCTCCGACATGTGAGGCTCGGCAGAGCAGGCAGAGGAAGGCAGTGGAGTCAGGAAGACCTGGGTTGGAAGTTGGATCTGCCTCTAAACTAGCTGTGTGACCTTGGGCAAGTCACTTAACCTCTCTAAGCCTTAGTTACCTCCTCTGTGAAATAGGGATGATAATTCTTACTTTGCAGGGCCATGATCATAGCTTACATTTAATGAACTCTCATTGTACACCAGATACAATTCTAAGCATTTGGCCTACACTAAACTCACTAAATCTGTACAGTAACTCTATGAAGTAAGTACTACCACAATCCCAAGCTGGTAAATGGCAGGGCAGGATTTGAACCTGGACAGTCCGGCTCCCAAGCCCCTGCATTTCCCCCAGGCTTCACGGTCTGCAGACACGAGGCCCCATGCTGGTGTTTAGAAGGTGGTCAATCAGCAGAAACTTACTATTTATTAGACACCAGCAAGTCTGAGTTCGAGAAGCTTCCCCTCTTTGCATCAACGACTTGTCCTTTCTACTCCTTAAAAGCCCAGACATTTGGCAATGACTTTCCCAAGAAGGAAAGTCAGCCCCGGCACCTAGCAACTAAAGCAGAAAACTCCGACAAAGCACAGCCCCGCCTGCCTATCTTGAATCCCTACTGAGGTTTATTTAGTGTAAAAACCAATGCAGAAACATTAATGAGTATTTTGAAAATCTAAAAAAATTTCTTCTAATTAGAGACCGTAAAACACAGCTGTTTTCATTTCCACGTTTCTTCCTTGTCTTTGTTCCAGTGAATGCGTACTTGTCTAGTTGTCATCACGGTGAATGCACGATTTTGTATTGGGCCGTTTTTAGTCACCATAAACAATCTTCATGTTTTATGAAGTTGTCATAATTATCTCTAATTGCTGCAGAATACTCCACCGAGCAGATGTGGAGTCACTCGTCAACATTCCCAACCACCGTGAACGCATCCGGGGGCCCAGGGTTCCCGCCTTTCTTCACCACGATCCCTCACCGTTCCCAAGTAGACGGGAGCAGCGCTTGGCGTCATGTCGTGAGGTGGCTGTGCCTATGTGGGTGCCTCCCAACACACCGTGAGTTCTGTGAGCATGTCTCAGTCATTTTTTATATCCATGGTATCTGACACATTGCAAACAATAAATATCTATTGAGTTTGTTTTGGGCAAATCTCTCCAGCTGGCAGCATTGCCTCACAGTCACAGAAATAAGAGTCATTCGCTGAGCACCTACCACGCACTGGGTGATGTACATGCTACCTCCTGGATCTCTCGACACCAGTCCTAAATCCAGTGATTCTTGCCATTTTACAGAGAGAGAAACAGAGAGGGAAAGTGACTTGGCTAAGGCCACACAGCATGTAAAGGATTTGAGCCCAGGACTCCTTGAGCGAAAGGCCTGCTCTGGGGCAAAGCTTTGTCTAGAGGCGGGTCTGTGGTTCTGTCCCATGGACATTTCTCCACATCCACCAGGAAACTTTTGGGGCTGCTTGCCAGCTGGGAGATGATATAGCCCCAACCTCAGGGAAATCAATCCTCTGTCTTGTGGGCAATTTGAGGAAAAGGATGTTCTGGGGCCTCTGACTCAATCAGGGCCCAGGCAGCTCGTGTCGGGGGAAACAGTGAACACATCTGTTGGCAGGTCATGGGGAAGGAGGGTGGCATCTGAGGTCAGGTGTCCTGGCCTACAACTCCAGCTCTGCTCATATGGACTCTGAGCAGGTCAGTTAACCTCTCGGAACCCCAGTTTTCTCATCCATAAAATGATGATCTCAACTTTATAGGGATATTGAGAGAATCTGAGATTGATATATTTTAATATAAAAACGTGTCTAGCACAGTGCAGGGCATGGAACAAGAAAATACCAGCAGCTTCGTAAAATACCTCAGATGCTTCCCTTCATCAGTCTACTTGCAGACCTAAGATGGGTCATAACCGGGGCAGAGGACTGAGCTCTGGCTGGGAGGTTAGGGGGCAAAGTTTCCAGTGTCTCCCGGGTTTCTATCAGCTTCTACCAGCTGGGTGATGCTGGGAGGAAAAAAGAACAAAACCAGCATTCTTAAATTGTTTAAAATTCTAACTTTTTTTTTCCCCAAAATAAAAATTTTAAATGGTTGCTGTAGAAATTTTGGACAATACAAAAAGATGAAGAGAAAATAAAAAGTGAGTCATAATTCTGTCTCCCAGAGACAACTACTGATGCAATTTCTGTTTTTTTCATCCAGTCCTTTCTAGACACATTATATGTACATACACATACATACCTCTAAAAGATAAAGTTGGCATCCTACTATTACATATATGATTTTAGACATGACACAGGACATAAGTAAAATAAACATCTCCCCATGAACTACAAGCCCCAGTGCTGGTAACATATGCCACCATTCATGGAATCCCCCGCTGCGGGGTATCCTGGTTTCTGGGACTCGATCACCTCCCCCTACCCCAGGCATCTCCAGTGGAAGGACTGGCAGCTTCTCTTACCACGTACAAGAGGAAAGGCCAGCTCACAAGGTGCCTGGTGACGTTCTCGCCCGTCATCTTCTCATGACTGTTGGGTGCAAATGTCACCAGCAGGTAGGTACCCACGACAGCCAAACCACAGCCAACAAAGGACAAGACATAGCGCCCTGCAGGGAAGAGAGACTGTCACAGGACTCGCCACACGAGCAGGCCCAGGTGCAATATGGACTCTTGGCAATGAAACAATAGGCTTCCTGTGCAGCATACTGTGACCTGTTACTGTTTGCATTTTGGGTTTTCTTTACTTTAAAAAGTAGATTTTTGGCCGGGCACGGTGGCTCACGCCTATAATCCTAGCTCTCTGGGAGGCCGAGGCGGGTTGATTGTTTGAGCTCAGGAGTTCGAAACCAGCCTGAGCAAGAGCGAGACCCCGTCTCTACTAAAATTAGAAAGAAATTAATTGGACAACTAAAAATATATAGAAAAAATTAGCCGGGCATGGTGGCGCATGCCTGTAGTCCCAGCTACTTGGGAGGCTGAGGCAGGAGGATCGCTTGAGCCCAGGAGTTTGAGGTTGCTGTGAGCTAGGATGACGCCACGGCACTCTAGCCTGGGCAACACAGTGAGACTCTGTCTCACAAAAAAAGAAAAAAAAAAGTAGATTTTCTTCCTTAATGTTATGTTTTTTTAAAAAAAAAAATTTAATGGTTAAAAAAAACTTTAATGAAGTATAACATGCATACAAGAAGAATTTGATGAATTCTCGAACAGTGAACACACCCATGAAACCAGCTCCCAGATCAAGAAAGAGAACATTAGGCCGGGCACGGTGGCTCATGTCTGTAATCATGGCATTTTGCGAAGCTAAGGTGAGAAGATCACTTGAGGCCAGGAGTTTGAGACTGGCCTGGGCAACATAGTAAGACCCTGTCTCTACACAAAATTAAAAAATTTGCTGGGTGTGGTAGTGTGTGCCTGTAGTCCCAGCTACTCAGGATGCTGAGATGGGAGGATCGCTCGAGCCCAGGAGTTTGAGGTTGCTGTGAGCTATGATTGTGCTACCATACTCTACCTGAGGCAACAGAGTGAGATTCTGTCTCAAAAAAAAAAAAAAAAAGAAAGAGAATGTTAGCAGGACCCCAAAATTCCTCACTTATGCTCCCTTCTGATCACTAGACTTCGCCCCCAGGGTAACACTATCTTGACTTCAAACTTCAAACATCACTGAAAGTTTCGCCTGGTTTTGTACCTTATCTAAATGGAATCATACAGTTTGATCTCTTGTGTCTGTGTTCATTCGATATTATGTTTGTGAGATTCATCTGTGTTTTGGGGTATAGTGGCAGTCCATTCATCCTCACTGCGTACAGTGGTCCATTGTGTGACCACAACACAATTTACCCATTCCATTGTTGATGGGCATTCAAGGGGTCTCCAGGCTTGGATTATATGGGTTGCTATGAACATTCTTGTACATGTCATTTGGGAACCACATATATGCATTTCTGCTGGGTATAAAACAAGGAGTAGAATTCATGGGACATAGGATATGTAGATGTTCAGTTTGGTAGTTACTGTCAAATGGTTTTCCAAGTGGTTGTACCAATTTATACTCCTACCAGCGGAGTATGAGAATTCTGGTTGCATTCTGTCAACACTTATATTTTGTGTTTTTCATTTAAGCCATGCTAATATGCATTGTGATTTTAACGTGCATTTTACAGCTAGAATCACTTTATGGTAAAACTAAAAAAACAAATAATACAAAACACTAAAAGCAAACCCTAACATGTACCTTTTAAAAATTACTTCATCCTTTCTCAATTGGCTATTTAACCTACTTCCAAGGGAACTATCTAAATACTATCAATATTCTACTCCACAGGCCTGTGAGAGACTGTTGGTGGTCTAAGAGGCATGCTCCTGGGTGAATGACAAGAGCCTCCTGCCTCTTCCCTGGGCTCCAGCCACGCTCCAATTGAACCCTGTGGGGTTAGTGACAAGCCTCTTGAAGTCCAGCCCAGCCCTAGGCAAGCTGAAAAGGGCTGAGAGTTCTGAGCTGCACATAGGATGATCACAGGCCTCTGGGTTTTTCTGGGATAGAATTAACTTTACCTATTTCATCCCATAGTCTCCAGAAAATGTAATACCATATTAAATTTCTTTTATTTTTATTCTCAGTATGAGGCCCCATAAATATAAGAGGTGCTCAAAAAATGGTTGTTCAATTATTCAATGAATGAATGCACCACGGTTAAACTCAATAAAGGCTGTTGTCTTAAGTTTTCTTCAGGCAGGGATGAGTCTTACTCATCTCTACACCTGTGGAGTCCAGCACAGATCTAGCACTGGGTGAATGTTTGCTGAATTTAATGGAACTGTAGCCAGGGCAGCCACATACAGCTGTGCAGGTTACTCACTGCACAAGGGCACATGGCTGAAAGGGTGAGAAGGGCTAAAATACAGCCTATGCTCTTCTCGCCAAGGCCTGTGCCTACAAAGCTGCAGATGTCCAGAGGGGCCATCTTTCTCCAACTCACACAGGGCTCTGCTTGGACTAGCATGGCTCTTATCCCAGGACTACCCAGAGTGACCCTGGAAGGGATGCAAATCTCTATACTCATCTCAGAACCAGCCCAGGGTGCCCCACCCCCACCCTGCCCCATCATCAGGACTACTGCTAATCAGTCGAAGTCTTTTGGTCTTCTTGGCAGTAGCGCCAAAGCCTCCAGTTCTGCCTTTTCTCAGAGTAAGATTCTTTTCTCTTTTGGCCTCCCAACCCCACCCTGATCTTATTCCACACCAATGACTCAGAACAGTGGTTCCCAAACCTGGCTGTGTATCCACAACATCCTGGGAGTTTCCTCCCACTGAAATCCTGTTTTAAAATTTTTCAGACACAGAGAAAAGTTGAAAGAGCTGTACGGTGAGTACCCACAGTCCCATCACCTAGATTCTAAATTGACACTTTCTTATACTTGCTTTATCACATATCTATCCATCTCTCCATCCCTCTATCCATTCATTAATCCTTCTTATTTTTTGGGTGCATTTGAAAGCACATTGTAGACATCAGTATAAACTTTATCCTGGAGAGCTTTATAAGAATCCCAATGCCTGAGCCCCAGCCCAGACCTCAGTATCTCTGGGGACAGAGCCTGGGCCCACCATCATGTCACTCCTCAACTCCTTGGCATGGCTCACAAGGTCCTACATTATCCAGTCCTCCGTGACCCCAATTTCCTTCTTTCTTTACTCACCACCCTCCAGCTACACTGGCCTTACTGACACTGGACACATCAAGCTTACTCTGGCCTCAGGACCTTTGCACTTGCTGCCTCCTCTATGTGGAACACCCTGCCCACATACCTGGGCATGGCAGTCTCCTTAGTCTCATGGGTCTAGGCTCAAAAATCACGTTTTCAGAGAGTCTAATCCTGACCAGTCTAGGAGAGGTGTCCTCACCTCCCCAAGCCCCACTAAAACATTCTATTTTCCCTGAAGCATTTATTACAACATAACATTATTTTGTTTATTTAGCTGTTCACTTGTTTATTGTATACACACACACACACACACACACACACACACACACACACACACACGACTGTAATCTCCATGACAGCAGGAGCCCCATCTGTTCTACTGCTGTGTCCTCGGCACCTACAATACAGCATGGCACTGAGCAGGTGTTTTGGGGGAACGCTTCTTCACTCCCCGGGTTTCCATGTGGCGGGACCTCCATTCAAGTGGCACTTCTGCCTCTTGCTCCATTGGTCCACATTTCTCAATTGGGCAGAGCTAATATAACAAAAAAATTTTAAACATGGGAGCTTCGGTATTTTTCCTTCCTTCTCTGCCCCAAACTATGTGAGGCAATGATTCCGGGTAAGTGTCTCTACTCCGTAAACCCAAGCATTTCTGCGGGGAACCTGCCCAAGGTCTAACCGGGAGCTGGGGCGTCCTGCGGGACAGTGAGCAAGGTCACTTGGCTGCACACCCGAGCTGCACACGCAGCCCCGCCTTTGCAAGTGATAAAGCACAACGTCTGATCTCCCGTGTGGGACTCCCATTGCTTTAGAACTTGCCAGGGAAAGGTGGTGCCTTTCATGGGGCCTCCTAAAATCCCAAGAATAGGTGCTCGGCATTGACTGACCGGAATGAACAAAAGTCTATTTCTAAAAGTCTCACAGGTGATTCTGAAGTGTCGCCAGGCTTGGGACCCACTGATTTAAACACTCAGCTCTGGGAGCCTGATGAGGGCGGAATACAGAACCACAGAGGGGAGCAGGAGGCAGACGATCCCTAAATCGGGGTGAGCTGGTTTTATAATGAATAAAAAACAGAAGTGTAAAGTTAAGGTCAGGGCTCAAATCACTGAACTTACTCAGAAACTCTTTAGGTTTCCATTTTTCTTTGATGAATATGATTCCTATGATGGAGCTGGCTGAAAAACAAAGCACAGGGAGAAGAGAATGAGGCTGCTGTCCCTTACAGGGCGTCCCCTTGCCCGTGCTCTCTGGGCTGGCTCATCTGCACTGGAGCTTGGTACTTCCCACCCTCTCACTCACGCTCCCAAGAGCTCAGCCCCTCTGATTCCTCTGTTCTTCCGTCTTGGAAAGGGAGGCTCCTCTCTGAGCACTGCATGTTGAGTATTGCTGTGCGACAGGTCATATGCACAAGTTATTTCTGGCACGTCCACCCTCAGAATCGGGTACTGTCATTATTCCTATCTGACAAATGGGGATGGTGAGGCTGAAAGAGGTGAAGGACTGCCTTGAGATCATGCGTTTGGTAAGGGAGGGCAAGTCTGAACCCGGGACTGTTGGAGGCCAGGGCTCTTGCTCCTTCCACTGCAACACCTACCTGCGACATTTCCCTCTGTTTCTTTTCTCTCCCTGAGTCTTCCCCATTCACAGATATACTCAAACACCCTCGTGACTGCCCTAAAGGATAGGGCTGGCAGTCACTGTGACCAGACCTGGGTCACTATCCTAGGGCTGCCTCTTCTGGCTACCTACCCTTGGGTCAGTCACTTCAGCTGAGTGTCAGTTCTCTGGTGTATGAAATAGTGTGTTGGATCCAGTTGGCATCAGCTTACTGATTATCAAATATTCAGGAAATCATTGGTAGCTTGAAATTATTCGGTGGGAATAAATAATGTGTGCATCATGTAAATTGGTAAACACCACGAATCGGGTCTTCCTGCTCCTCTTTCCCACTTTTCCATCCCTTCTCTCCATCCCTCTCCTCCACCTCCTCTTCTTTTTCTTCTCCTTTGTGTGTGTGTGTCTCTATCTGACAGTCAGCTTACCAGCACACCACTGAAAATAACTACTTCTCTGAGTTACAGGGGCAATTAACTGAGCTAATGTATGTAAATCATTTGGCATGCAGTAAATGCTAAATAACTAACTTATTAGTATTAAAGTACCCGGAACGGTGATGGACAAGTCATAGGTATCTAATAAATGGTATCATTATTTTTAATATTATTTTTCACTGGGTGACTTCAGAAGCTCTAGAACCCCTTAATTTCTAGTGGCTGATATCTGAAGTCTCATCATTATAATTCGGCCTCTTATTTTTAAGAATTTGGTGATTTGATTCTGATAAAAATTCAAAGACTAATATTTAAATCACTAATCACCCAGATACTTATTCCTCATGGTGAATAAAGGTTCTGGGAATCCTTTGGCGATGGCAGCAAGGGGCAGAGCAGAGAGATGAGGGTACAAATCTAATTACCTGTAAGGGCTGGGGAGTAACATAAATGGAGAAGATGAGCCAGAAGCAAGACAATAGGGAAAGGTTGAGACTGTGGCCAACGACTCGCCTCAACTGAAGACATTCTAATTACATTTTAAAAAATACTGCGTAGGAGAAAACACACCATGTCTCAGGACCTCACTTACCTTTTAGGCTACCAGTTTACCAACCCTGGTTAGGAAAAAAGTAGGTCTTATCACAGGATCAGGGAAAGCAAATAGGTGTCTGCTCCTTTGTCAGCCCCTGGTGATTGGCTGACTGCCTGAAGTGCTGAGAACCTGAGGTCCCATCTAGGCTGCCTGGGAAGGAATGCTATGATTGATTAATGATGTCTGCCTTGAGCACCGGAGGGAGTGCACAGTTACCATGCACATGCCACTCCTGATATAGAAAAGGGCTTAACTCCAGTTGGAATAAGACCTGACATATGACTTTCTCCATTAAGAGCGTCTCAATAGAGTAGTGCTTGCCAGCAAAATGGAAGGAGACATTTCAAAGCAAGTTCCCTGTCCTAGCTCCTATGTACAAAAAGTTATTGTTCACTAATCTACTAGCAACTTTTCTTTAAGAATGATTTCTTTCCTGATGCTATTTTATCTGTGATCTCATGAACATTAAAACTCCTTTGTCTTTTAGTTGGTTCAAAGGCTCTGAAACACTGGTTCGCTGACCACAGAAATCAAAGAAAAATGTCAGATGAGAAAGTTAATGATGTTTTTGAAATGGTTTCAGTGGATGTAAAAAATTAGAGACTAAGCTAAAGATGCATTTCTTAGAGGTGCAGGATATCTGAACCATGGGAAAGCTTAGTTTGTCTTGACAGCATAAAGATGCACAGGTTAAGTTTTACCTTCCTCCTGCAGTAGAAATAAAACGCAATTTTGATAAAGTTTCTGAATCTTAAAACAAATTCTGGAGCCAGACATCCTGGTTCATATCCCAGCCCTGTTACTCACTGGCTGTGTGATTTGGGGAGAGTAACTACATCACTTCATGCCCCAGTTTCCTCTCCTGTAAAACAGGGATAATAACAGTATTCCCTTTAAAAGGTGGCTGGGAGGATTAGCAGAATTAACATCTGTAAAGCACTGAGAACAGGGCCTGGTGTGTATGAAGCCCTTTGTGTTAGGCTATTATTATCAAAGCAAAAGCTGGTTTGTTCAATGAGCACCTTTGATCCTGGTGGTGACACTGTGGTCACACAGGTGGGTGAGCCCCAGGGAAGGGTGGGGTGGGGCCCTGGTCTTACCTATCACGGAGACTGCGCTGAGGGGCACGATCAGGGAGAGTGGAGCGAAGGCGTAGGAGGCGAACACGCCCAGCTCACCAAGCAGCATCAGGAACAGGCCCAGCCACCATGTCTTGGTCTTGAAATAGGCCCGGGGGTCCTTGGAGCCTGCCAGGCGGATGTGGCAATACTTCTAGAAATCCGAGAAAGAATGTACTTTGCCCAGATGTTTGGAGGAAAAAAATGCTATGATGTGCATATCCTACATCTACCCCCCACATTTAAAAATAAATTGGGAAGACCTGTCAAGGTTTTCTGGAGTCCTTACTCTGAGAAGAGTAAAACGCTAGGATTCTAAACACTAGATGGTTATCCCAGGACAGTAGTTCTCCAACTGGCTGGGAAGCCTTCAAACGTCCCTGGAAAGCTTTGAAAAAATACACGTCTGAGCCTCATCCTCAGATTCAGGCCTGGAAGTGGGCATTCCCAACGCACAGCACAGGCAACGCACAGTCTCAGGGTGGGAACCACGGTCTAAGGATCCCACTTTGGCCTGGCCCTCGGGTTGACCTTCTCCATGTTTGGGATGCCCGCTTGGCTACACTCCCTATTGTATGCATGCCAGCGGCACTTGCTGGACAGCCGTGGGTGTACCAGTGGACCTTGCCCTCCCTGGGGTGGATACTTGGCTCAAGCATGACCAGTATTCTTTTTTGGGGGAAATGTGAACTTGGGACATAGAAATTGAGGCAGTAAGCGATGAAGGCTAGAAAGTCACGCTGACTTAGGGGGCCAAGTCTGCCATCTGGGGAGGACCATGATATGGGCTGCACAGATACATAAGCAGAGCTGCCGGTCTGCAGAGAGAAGAGAATGAACCAAACAAGTAGCTAAGAGACCTCACCAGTCTCAGCAATGCGCGGAAACACTCCACACACGCGTGGGCGCTGAGATGCACAAGGCACAGCTGGACAAGGCACATGCGTGTGTCCACAGGGACAAGAGTCTCACGCCTGCCCCCAGGAGGGAGAGCGGCTCACTGCAAGCAGCAGCTGGGTAGCGGTGGTGGGGTGAAGGTGGCCAGTGTGCTATGGGATGTATGCTGTCAGCAGGTGGCAAGTCTTAGTCTGGGTTTCCCAGCAGCAGTCCCTGAGACAAGGGCTCGGAGCAGTTTGGGAGTCATTTGTTTAGGAGATGATCGATTCCAGGAGGCACAGGTAAGGGAGGGAGAAAGTGAGGCAGGGAAGGGACAAGAACCAGTGAAGGGTGCATTAATGAGTGAATTAGTCCCGTGGGCGACTGGGGCCTGGGAACCCTCTGAAAACACCTGTGAAATTGACCCCAGCGTCATTCTGCCAGAGGACAGGAGCCCGGGGCCTCTATCTACCGACTCCAGTGGAGTTAACAGCCCCTTCCCAACACGCAGCCCAGCTGCACCTGCAGGCCAGGAGAACCCGCTCCCTGGAGCCCCCATGAGAAGCTCCTTGAGCTACCAACTTGCTGCAAAACACACCTGCTTGTGAACTCAGATGGGCCAAGGGGATTGGGAGCAGGACACTTATCTACAGTGGTGGCTACAGGGCAGCCCTAGTGACTGTTAACTAATGGACAGTGCTGTAATCAGAGGTGTGACAAAACTATGACAATTCTGGCAGCCTTGTAGCAAGGCAAACAGGACAGGATGAGACCAGAGCCAGGAGGCCAGTTAGGAGGTCACAGCACAGCTCAAGAAGAGAGGTAAGGACCAGGCTAGGAGGACGAGGGTGGGAATAGAGGGGGGCACTGAATCAAGAGAGATTCTGGAATAGCCCATAAGGTACTGTCCCTAGTACCACCCAGGGATGGAGTAGGTAAGGCCCCACAGAGAGGTGGCAGCTGGACATGCCCCAGACAGGGCTGAAGACTGAAACTTACCTGGAGATTAAGGGCAATGCTGACCACAAGGTGCCCAAAAATCGCCAAGAGGGCGCCGATCAAATTTTCCTGTAAGGGAAGTACACAGGAGCAGATGTGAGTTGGGCCTAAGCCAAGGGGCCCCAGGACACATTTGACACCCAACTCTTTGCTGTCCCAAAACAAACCAGGAAAACAATATCCATCACAAAGCCACACCCAGACCCTAGACTGGAATTTTACTACCCACAATCTGGTTGTTTTGCTGGTTTACAAAACACTGCCCTGAGTTGGACCCTTCCAGAAAACGCCATCCAGGCCTGGTCACGATGACCTGACAAGGCCTGAACCTGCTCTGCTATTCCTTTTAATGTACTGACTTGCCACCATCTTGTGCGGAAAAGCGACGTTCATAAATCAGAATTTACAACAGAAATACAGGCAGGGATACTTTTGCTACCTTAACAATGTTTCCATGAACTCTCTCAACTGGCCAACTTGCTTCGGGCACTTTCAATTATTTAATTTATAAAAAGTTAATTTACATCACCTCATAAGTAAGGTTCAGAGTCTTTGGCATGGTATTATTTTTTAACTTTGTAAAATGATTATCAAACATATTCACTGTAGAATAATTAGGAAATATAGGTAAATAAAAAGTAATAACACAATAGAAAAGTCACCTGTAATTCTATAACTCAGAGATAATTACTATAAACATTTTGGTTCTTATTCCTGCAAACTTTTTCCTGTCCATAAATTTGGATATCAATGGAAATGTTAGTTTACCTTATAAAAATAAGGTTACAATCTGTTTTATAACCTGTTTTTTTAACTTAACATATTATGAACACATTCCCCTGGCAGGCGTATCTAATTCATCATTTTTAATAAATGTCAAATAACTCATTGTATGTGTCATATTTTATATTATTGCTTTGCTATTATTGGATATTTAGGCTGTTGCCTGCTTTCTGAAACAATGCTGTGATTGAATATCCCAGGATACACAGTTTTGTGCGTTTGTGTGGATTAGTCCCTGGGGATAAATTCTTAGAAGTGGAATTGCTGGGTCAAAATGTACATAAGCCTAGCATTTAAGTCACACTACATCCTGTCCCTGACACACTTACTGGCATTGTTCTACCATCAAATGCCAAAGGAAGTCTCTGTGTCAGCCAGATAGGAATCCTCTCTTCCCAGGATGTGCCCTTCCCAGCTCCTCCTTTGCTCATGTGGTTCATCCACCTGGTTGCCCTCCCCGGTGAAATCCTGCCCGTTCTTTAAGGTGTGGGCCAGGCCCCAGGGAATCAGCAGTGATCAAGGCAGACACAGTCCCTGCTCTCACAGCGTTCAATCCACCTGGACAGGTAACTAGCAAGCTGCTTCACAGTGGCCAAAGGTGGCTCAGGCGGCCTCCTCAGGACAGAGGCAGCGGTAAGGGTGAGGTCAACCGTGCCTCCCTCCTTCCCTCTCCTGGAATGCACCACGCTTAGAAGACAGGTCTTCCCAGAGAAGAGGCAGTTGGCCAGGGGTAAGGGCAGGAGGAGGGAGAAAGAGGCCTACTGACCGAGATCCCCATGGGGGGGGGGTGTCCCTCACTTCTCTTCCCGCGAGGCACAAGAAAGACCCTGAGCTGGGAACCAGGAGACCCTGTCTCAGTCCTAGCTGAAACCTGGGACAAGTCACCTCCCCTGGTGGGGCTGTGTGTCCCCTGCCTGGAAAAGGTAAATGCTGGAAACTGACTGACTCAGTTCCCACACAGCTAGATAGCACAGAGCCACCTGAGAGCAGAAACTGCATCCTTCCTACAGGATCAGAGCATCTCAGAGCTACGACAGTCAGTGGAGACCAACCAGGCCAGGGTTTCCCTAACTGGGTTCCCAGAGACGTGAATGTATAAATGGGGTTCCAAGGCAAAACAAAAACAAAAAACAAAAACAAAAACTCCCACCATGTAGTTAAATAAGCTCGGGAGAAAATACTGTATCAACCCACTGCTTGGAGACCCACAGTGCAGACGCTGGAGGTTCTCAGGAGCTTCTCCTTGTCTAACTCAGGTTTTCCAAACCTATTTGGATCTAGAGCTCTTAACCTGGAACCCAGTCATTGGCGTCTGTAGAAGACATCTATGATTCTCATCCGACTCATATTTTAATCACTTTCCTCCTCTTCTAGTAATAACACCCTGATTTTTCTGGGAACGACTACCTCCGTACTTCTCACTGGACACAGTCTTGTTGGAAGTGTCATTCAAAGTGCTCCATCCTCCCCCGGACGAGGATGGGCCTATGACCAAAGCTTGATCCAAGTCGGGTAGGTCAGAAACTCTCTTCCTGGGATCCAAATCTTGGACTGGGAAACAGGCTGAAAAAAGGCTGGCTCACTTTGGCCCCATGCAAGGCCTGGACAGATCATTAGTTCCTGCTTCTCGGATCCTGGAGCCCTCCTGGTTCCCGTCCTTCCTGAAGCTGGGAACAGCCCTATGGTCTTTTGTTTAAGGGCTGCTTTCTATTAGTTGCAACCAGAAAGCCTACTAGAACCAACGCTACATGGAATGCAGTTTGGTAGCACGTTTATGATTAGTCTAACTTCTTATAAACATGAATGGTGTTTTTTCCTCCCCTTTCTTAGAGATGTGGCGTGGGTGGACAAAAAAGGCTGTTTTTACTTTTTTTAAAAAAGTATATTAATAGATTTGTTATTAAAGTGACAAATTCACAAATCTAGGTTTTTTGAAATAAAATCTTATGACAGAACTAAATAATTCTTGTAAATCTAACAAATTACACTTATGAATATAACGAATCTTAATTTCTCTTAAATGTTCTAATGCTGCTCACATACAATAAAATGTTATAACTTTCCATTTAAAACGTCAATTACAGGAATTCTGCTTCCAGGCAGATGGAGTAGACATACTTTTCTCCATTCATCCTGCTACACACAGCTAAAACCTTGGACCTCACATATAAAACAAACATAAGACGACTCTGAAAGGTGGAGAGAAGGTGGTAGACAGGCTAGAAACCTGGGTCCTGAGGAACAACATGGTGGTGGGTTTCCTGGGTTTTCTTTTAGCCTCATACATCCCAGCCTTGGAGCTGAAGAAGCCAGCACCCTGGAAATACCAACAGGTGCAGGAAAAAAGCCCCACTTTCTCTAGGCAAAGGATCACGAGATGGGCAGCTACACAGGAAAAAAACTTTTAGACAATAACCACTCTACTACAAACACAAGAGAAAAAACAGATGGCGCCAGCATAGGCTGAGGAGAAATCCTAGACTTCCACCCTTTCAAGGCTGTAACAAGGCACCTGTATGGTCTGTGTCCCCCAAAAGTCATATCTTGAAGTCCTAACCCACGAGGTGATACTAGGAGGTGGTGTCTTTGGGAGGTGACTGGGTCATGAGGGTGGAGTCCTCACGAATGGGATTAGTACTCTTATAAAAAAGAGACTCAAGAGAGACCACTCTCCCCTTCCACCACATGAGGATACAGCAAGAAGGAGCCATCTATAAGAAACAGGACCCTCACTAGGCACTGAATCTGTCGGTTTCTTTGATCTTGGACCTTGCAGCGTTCAGAACCATGAGACATAAATCTGTTTATTAGCTACCGAGCTTATGGTATTTTGTTAGAGCAGCCCAAATGGACTAAGATGGCACCCAAAATCCCCTGCTAGGACTACTCGAGAAGGTCAAGCAGGGAGCCAGTGGCCAGTGACGAGGCATCTCCCTCCCATGGTATCACTGGAGACCACAAGGGGAGCCTGGACTTCTATCTTTGATGCACAATAGTTTTAATTTTGATGAAGTCTAATTCATTTATTGTTTTCTTTTATTGTTCATGCTTTCGGTGTCATATTTTAAAACTGTTGCCTAATCCAAGGTCACAAAAATTTACACCTATATTTACTTCCAAGAATTTTATAGTTTTTAGGCCGGGCGCAATGGCTCACACCTGTAATCCTAGCACTCTGGGAGGCCGAAGCGGGCGGATTGTTTGAGCTCAGGAGTTTGAAACCAGCCTGAGCGAGAGCGAGACACCGTTTGTACTATAAATAGAAAGAAATTAATCGGACAACTAAAAATACATAGAAAAAATTAGCCGGGCACGGTGGCACATGCCTGTAGTCCCAGCTACTCAGGAGGCTGAGGCAGAAGGATTGCTTGAGCCCAGGAGTTTGAGGTTGCTGTGAGCTAGGCTGACGCCACGGCACTCACTCTAGCCAGGGCAACAGAGTGAGACTCTGTCTCCAAAAAAAAAAAAAAAAAGAATTTTATAGTTTTAGCTTCTTTGATCCATTTTTAGTTAATTTTTGTGCATGGTATGAGGTGGGAGTATAACTTCATTCATTCATTTACATGTGGTTAAGAGTATCTAACAGTATTTAAAAATACCAGTATTGGAATGTGCCAGAAATTACATACTTTGCAAATATTTAAACTCACAATGAAAAATTTTAGAACTAAAAGAATGTGTGAGGAACAAGTTTGAGAGCCTGGAAGAAAGCCCTGCATTAAATGTGGCCCTTGTGGAGGGTACAGAGCAAGGACTTCAGCCTCCGTGGGAGGGGGAGACAGGCAGTGGCAGGTGTGAGCCAGTAGTTCAGTTAACCAACGCCGATGAGGAGGAGCGGTGGTTAAGGAGAGTTAACTGGCAGCAACTCTACAGGAACTGCCTCGGGCAGGTAGGGGACAACAGGACTCTGGTTCTGGCTCCCAAGGACACACCAAGGGTGCTCTGTTCCCTTTATGGGAGACTAAGGAGAGCTGGAGACAGGAGTTGTTTGGAAACCTGAGGCCTGAGCAACGGCTGCTCAGGACACTGGGGGACCACACAGCTGCAGGTCCAAGGGTGGCCTGGCGGGATTTGCTCCTCTAAGGCTCGGTTTCTTCCTCTTCTGTTAGAGGAGATGACAGCGCCTGCCTCTCGGCGCTGTATTGGGGACTTCCTAAGACAATCTGGAGAAAGTACTTACCTCTGTACTTAGAAGTGGGGTGAACCATATGAAACTGCCAACATTTAACCACTTCTGACCTACAAAAATGGTAGTTTCATATGGTTCAACCCATGACTGGTAGCTA